TTAGAGCTCCGTAAACAGCAGCCTCATCACTGCCATGGCCCTCATTGCAGCTCTGTGCTCGGCTGTCTTTCTCAGAGCTCTAAGCCTGCACGTCTTACCGCCCTTCAACATCAGTGTCCCGGAGGCCGAGGGTCTCCGTAACTGTGCAGTTAGAGCTCCGTAAACAGCAGCCTCATCACTAGCATGGCCGTCCACTCCGCCCTCATTGCAGCTCTGTGTCCGGCAGTCTTTCTCAGAGCTCTAAGCCTGCACGCCTTACCAACCTTCAACATTCTCACTTCTTGCTCCCAGGGGTCCTGCCCCCTCCTCACCCTGTGTAGACATCACTACCCCCTGCTTCCATTACACTCACCTCGTCTGTTCCCACCCCTCTGCCCTCACCACACTGGCCCAGGCCTGGTGGGCCCCGTGGCCCCCGGTCCCTGCGTCCTCACCCTTGCACTGCCTGCCTGCACGCTTCACTCCACCCGCTGTGACTGCCAGAGTGGTGCGGTTATTTTTTATTTTTTTAATTACCAGAAGGCATTTGTGCCTGCCAGAGAGAAACCAGGGCTGGGGGGCGGGGGTTGTTGTTTTGTTTTGTTTTAGGAATAGTCACCCATTTACGGTGCAACCAGGGCCTCCTACCGGTGGAGCGGGAAGCAGTGTGGGGCAGGTGTCTGGACAGGTTGGGGCAGTGGAGTTGTCTATGTGGTGGTGTCTTGTTGCATGTCACAGTTGGGACTGGGATGGCACGGTGGTGTCCTTCACACATCTCTGTCCTCTTTGCTTCCCATTCAAAACCCTGATGGGCTCTTCATGTTCTCAGGGTGCACTTGGACCTCTGCTTGTTACAGGCCTGCCCGTCTTCCTCCCAGCCCTCTCTCAGCCTGCCACTCTCCTGCCCGCGAGTCCTGGAGTACCCCGTGTGCCACCTGCCCCTTTGCACATGCTGTTCCCTCTTGGCCCGCTCAGCCCTGCCCCTCCATTAAGCACTAGCTCGGGCAGCCTCTCTTCTTGGCAGCTGCTCCATCTCTGCCCCCGTGCCCCATCTGTCAGGTCCACGGTATCCTTGCCTCTGTCCACACCTGCCTTCCCCACAGACCCGGGATGCTCCCCTCTTCCAAGAGCTCCCCCGCCACACCCTCCCACTTTGTGCTGCCCCCAATCACTCTGAGCCCTGTCCCTGGTCCTTGTGTCCCCAGCTTCTCCGCCGACTCAGAGCTGGAGAAGGAGCAGTGGCTAGAGGCCATGCAGGGTGCCATCGCTGAGGCCCTGTCCACCTCGGAGGTGGCCGAGCGCGTCTGGGCTGCAGCCCCCAACAGGTTCTGTGCCGACTGTGGGGCTGCTCAGCCCGACTGGGCCTCCATCAACCTCTGCGTCGTCATTTGCAAGCGCTGTGCAGGTGCGTGGGGGGCAGGATGCTGGCGGGCGGGGAAGGTGAAGGGCCTGTGGCCAGAGGGGCTGGAATAGAGGTGGCAGCCAGACAGCCCTGCCTGGGAAGTTGCTCCTGCTTGCCAAGCCTTTCCCACTGCGATCCCCTCCAGGCCTTCCATCCCAAGGCGGGTTTGACTTCTCACGTTGTGGGTGGGGATGCTAAGGGGCAGAGGGGACATGGCTCCAGGGTCACCTGCTGGGTAAATGAGCCTGGATAAGCCTAGGCCTGACGGACCTAGGGTCCCTCTTACATCAGGAGAGATGAGGGAGCCGGGTGAGAGCTGACTGGGGACAGGCCAGGCAGGGCTTTGCATGCAGAGGCAGGAGCTGGAACTTGGTCTGAAGTGGGAAGGGAGGCAGGGAACCCAGGGGTGTAGTCTGATTCTGGCTGCTGGGTGGGATCCGAGATGGAGGGGCTGAGATGAGACCAGTGAGGAGGCGGGGTCGGGAAGGGGAGAAGTTGGAGGCCTGGTCTGGGGAGGGATGAGCGTTCTGGGGATGTTTCGGGTTCATGTGGTACGGGTCTCAGTAACCCATGGCGAAGTCAGGAAAGGTTGGAGCCAAGATTCATTTGGCCTCCTATCCGGCCTCTACTGAGTGCATTAGGGGCCCGCCATGTACAGGCATTGTGCTGGTGCCAGGGACTGGCCCTCAGGAGAGCTGACGATGCCCAGGAGGTGAATGTGCATGGCTGAGAGGGGCATCCTCTGAGGTAGGAGTCAGGGCGAGGAACAGGATCGAGGGGTCACTGAGCTCCGTGCAGAGACATGAGGTCTGCCGGATGCCTGGGACAAAGTCCACAGGTCCTTGGTACAGAGAGTATGGCCAGCTGGAGACCAGTTCAGGAGCACGCATGCTCGTGAAGGCCAGAGGCTGACTGCAGGGGAGAAGGTGCTCCACGGGTTGTCCAAGAGGCAAGGCCATGCCAGAGCCAGGCAGAGCCAGGCACCCCTAGTGCCCCAGTGCCCTCCCTACCCTGGGTCCCTTGTGGGAGCTGTGGGGACTGAGGCTTCATTCCTCCTCCCTCATTCCTCCTGGCCCCTTCATTCCGTGGAGATGTTTGAGGTGCCATGTGCCAGGTTTTGTTCAGAGCCCTGAGGATTGAATTCTAAAGCAGGCTATTGGGGGGTTCTTGCTGCATGCAGCTTACCTTCTAGTGGGGAGAGGCAGAAAATACCATATGCCAGCCACTAGCGGGATCGATCAATGATTTGATCAATTGGGAATGACACGTACTAGCCAGAGATTGTGCTCCTTGTCATAGGAGCCCTCTCAGGAGGTGACAAGCCAGCCGAGATCTGAATGACTGGGAGTGGCTGTGGGAAGGTAGGGCCAGAGAGGCCAGGCAGAAATGTGGGGATGGAAGGGAAGTGGATGAGGAATTCTGGTGGGGTTCTGGGGAGCCACTGGAGGGGGAAGCAGTGATTGGAGTGAGGGATCTGCATGCTAAAGGGATTGCCCTGACTGGGCTGAGTGGGCCAAGCTGACTACAGGGAGCCAGTCCAGGGGAGGAGGCTCAGTCCTGGGGTGCAGGGAGCAGTTGTGCAGTGCTGATTCCAGTCCACAGACCTTGCCCCTAGGGCCGCCTTTGGCCTCTCCTCTCCCCCTCTGCGGGATGGGCACTCAGCTTGTGGAGGCCTGAGGCCAACTGGAGTCACCTGGCAAGTGTTCAGTGACCCCAAGTCTGGCCCTCTGTCTACAGGGGAGCATCGTGGCCTGGGCGCTGGCGTGTCCAAGGTGCGGAGCCTGAAGATGGACAGGAAGGTGTGGACGGAAACACTCATCGAGGTGGGATGTCTGCTTGTCCCCGAGACCGATGCTGGGGCCTGCCCACTCAGGGGTGCCTGGGTCCTCTCACCCCTCCCCATCTCACTGACCTCAGCACCTTGGAGCCAGAAGAGACCTTTGTGATCCTCTTGTGGGTGGGGATTTTGGACAAGCTGATTTTTGGCAACTTCAGCAAACTGGCCAGTAAGCTAAGAATGTTTTCATAGCTTTAAAGGTTTGGTAAAAATAAGAAGATGCAACCGAGACTGAATGTGTTCTGTAAAGCCTGAAATGTTTGTTATTTGGCTCTTTAAAGAAATGATTTGATGACGCCTGACCTAGGTCAGCTTCATCCCATCGTACAGATATGGAAGGCGAGGCCTTGGACAGGGCTATAGTCTGCCCGAGATTGCCCAGAAAGCCACATTGACCTCCATGCCCTGGCCCTTTCCACCCAGCATCCTGGCCGAGCTGGGTTCTCCTCCCCCACCTTGCACACCCATTGGAGCCTCTTTATCCATGTTTGATCTGCATTCACGGGCACTGTTGGGATGCATGTGTATGCTTTTGGGCACTCATATAAGGTGTATGTTATGCCTGTGTGCTTGAAGTTCCCCGGTCCTCAGATATGTGATTACTAGGGGATCCTGCAGCAGGAGGTTGGAGCCAGGGGCCAGCCCACAGACCCAGCCCAGTTACAGACTCGGAGTATTTTCTGTGTCACACCCATTTTCCATCTCCCCACTGTGTGTTGGGCACACACGTGCTAGGACTTGGCCTGTGTTACTAAGTTCACTTTCTAAATAAGCCTGGAGTTAGGATTAGAATTCCCAGTTTACAGATGAGGACACTGAGACCCAGGGAAAGGCAATGACTTGTCTAGGGTCACAGAGTGAGTCAGTGGTGGCTGGAACTGTTCCCTTTTTGTTCTCTGCTGTGACCCCACCCAGCACCCCACATAAGACCCAGCAGAGAGGTGAGGTGGGGTGAGGGGCAGGAAATGGCTGTGGGATCAATGATGAGCAGGGCAAGAGAATAAACTAGTCCCTGAGTACTGGACCCCTGCACCCCCCCAGAATCTGCTCCCCACCCCTTGCCCAGAGAGGAGTGTCAGGGACAGGAGTTGTTTCCCAAACCCCTACCCACCCCGTTGGCTGACAAGGGTAGACACCCCTCAGCTGTGAAAGCCTCAGGAATGCAGAGTTCCAGATGTGGGACTGGGTGGGGCACGGCAGGGCCCCCAGGGATCAGGCCCGAGGTGTCCACCTGCCAGATTGTCTGCATCTTGTCCCATTCTGAGCTGAGTAGTTAGGCTCAGAGCCCACGACTGGGGAGCACCCACAGGTCCAGCCTTCCCCTGGGAATGTGGGCGGATGGCTTGCCTCTCCGAACTCCTGGCCTGGCAACCCCAGAAACCAAGACTTCGCCCAGACTGCCTCTGGCTGTCGGCTGACCTCTTGCCCACACCCGCAGCTCTTCTTACAGCTGGGCAATGGTGCTGGGAACCACTTCTGGGCAGCCAACGTGCCCCCGAGTGAGGCCCTGCAGCCCAGCAGCAGCCCCGGGGCCCGGCGGCGCCACCTGGAGGCCAAGTACCGCGAGGGCAAGTACCGCCGCTACCACCCGCTCTTTGGCAACCAAGAGGAGCTGGACAAGGTCAGAGCACACACTTCTGGGGCCCTTGCCACCCCGCTTCCTGCTACCCTAGTCCTCACTCTACGCGAACCCATCTCTTCTGTCAGCTATGTGATGAGTTGGCATTTGGGGAAGCTGAGGCCCAGAGAGCAGAAGGGCCCTGCCTAAGCCACATGGAAAGTTAGAGCGACACAGAAAAGATCCTTGACCTCTGGGCCAAGGCCCCGTCCCCAGCATCTGCCTGCCTCCTTCCCGATTCCTCTGTCTCCCGCACCCCGTCCTTGCTTCTGAATCCTGCCAAAAGGAGTGAACTTGATGGGGATGCTATTTCCTGTCAGGCTCATGAGAAACAGCTGGGCTGCTCCCGCCCAGGCCCATCCACACCCCACTCTGGATGAGGCCCTGTATGGGCCCCGGCCTTGACAGGCTGAAGCCAGGCCGCAGGCCATGATGGCCTAGCCTAAGTGGGAGCAGCCAGCTCCGAGGCAGGGGGATGCCATTTATGACCTCTGGTTGGCCTTTAGCCCCTCCCCACCAAAGCCCTACCCAGCAGGCTTAGTCCAGCTAGCAGCCCAGTGGCAGCAAGGCCTCCACCTCCCAGGGACCCAGGCGTCTTGCCCCCAGCCCAGCCCAGTCTAGCCTGCAAGCCAGGAGGGCGGCAACTCCCATTGGTTGGGAGGGCTGGGCAGGCCGCGAGGAATTCGATGTGGGAGGAATTAGCTACAAAGCAGCCCCCGCCCCTCCTGCAGGCAGAGGGAGCTCCAGATCCTCTGGAGGCTCAGGACTGGACGGCTGGGGCCCAGACTGTCCTCAGCCAGCAGGGGTGAGGCCTGAGCAGCCGGCCTCCCCACTCTGCTAAGCGGCCCCTGCCCACCCTCCCTTCTTGGCCTTTCTCTTCCTCCTCTTCTTTCTTCCTCTCTCTTCTTTCTTTCAGTTGGAGGCTGGGCTGTCCCAGCCCAGGGTGCCCCTTCCTCTCCCTTCCCCTCCTCCCCCACACCCTCTTTCTCTCCTGTTGGTCCCTACCCCCTCCGCCCCCCCCTGCTTGGACTGACCTTCCCCCTCCCCCAGGCCCTGTGTGCTGCAGTCGTCACCACAGACCTGGCTGAGACCCAGGCGCTCCTGGGCTGTGGGGCTGGGGTCAGCTGCTTCTCGGGGGACCCTGAGGCCCCCACGCCCCTGGCTCTCGCGGAGCAGGCGGGGCAGACTCTGCAGATGGAATTCCTTCGGAACAACCGGACCACGGGTGAGCGCTGCCCTGGGACCGTGTGCTGCCCCCGGGAGTGGGGTGTCCTTGCAGACAGGGCCCTTTGGTGGGCATCTGGTGGGGGCTGGGTAGGGACTCGCCCTGCAAAGTTCAGTTTACACCTCGCTCTCAAGTGGTGACTGTGGCTCCTGTGTGGGGCCCTGGTGTGACAGCGTCTGATTACGGGTGTGTTTGGGCGTGCGTGTCAGTGCACATTTGTGCTTCATATGTGTGTCCCTGGCTGACTTGCAGTGGGCTGTGTGTGCCAGTGTCTGCTTCTGGACCACTGCGGGCCCGTTTCCTTGCACCTGGGGACACTGAGGCCTTGGGTGTGTGTGTATGTGTGTGTGTGTGTGTGTGTGTGTGTGTTGTGTTTCTGTGTGCAGGTGACCCGCCATGCCAATAGAGTTAAGTGTGACCACCACGTGGAGCAATGAAGAAAGATCTGTGTTTCGCTAAGTAAGAAAAAAATATCTAGTTTTTTTTTTTTTAAAGAAAATTCCTATTTACTTACTTTCTCATGAAGGATGCCTTCAGAAGGAGCCATGAAGTATGAAAAGGGTGTTATTTCTAGGCAGTGTTTCCAAAAGCGTAGTAGGGTAGATAATTTTATGTGGCATATGAATAAACATTTTTATTTGAATAATTATGCATTTATTTTTATCATTCCTCCCAGCTCTCTCCCTTCAACACTCACAGCCCTGGTACTGCCGTCTGCCTTGGGAATCACTGGTTTTATTCACAGCATCTGTTCGGTTCCTCCTGTCTGCCACCATCAGCCCAGGTCCTGCAGGTCAGACCTCGCCCCTGCTCTCCAGTCCACACTGCGTCATCTTTTCTTACTGTCTGCCCCTCTCCCCAGCTACAGAACCCCTACCTGTGCCCTCTGCAACTCACAATCGATTGTCAGCCAAAACTCAATCTAGAGAACCAAATCTAGCTGTCTTTCCAATAAAGCAAAACGGTTCCCTGTTCACCGAAAGTTATAGGTGACAGTAAATGGCTTGCTTTCTATTTCAATTATTTATTGCTGTGTAACATATCACACCAAACTTAGTAGCTTAAAATGACAACCACTTCGTTTGCTTTCTAGCTTCTGTAGATGGATGGCTCAACTGGCGGTTCTGTTGGTCTCATAGAAAGGCTGACTGATCAAGAGGCAGCTGGAGCCTCCCCAGGAGGCTGGTGAGCTGAGCCTCCTCTTTCGCCATGCAAGGCATGTGATCTCTCTGTGGTAGTTTGGGAGTCCTAGAAAAGATAGAAAATAGAAATCTTCAGGTCTTCTTTTCTTTCCTTTTCATCTTCTTTTTTATGAATTATTTATTTTATTTTATTTATTATTATCATTTTAATTTGACCAAAGGGGAGTGGGGAGAGAAAGCAAGCCACCAGGTCTGGGACTCGACAGCAAGGGACCGTGTGGGAGTCCAGTGCCTTAACCACCATGCCACCTACCAGCCACCCTCCAGGCCTTTTTTTTTTTTTA